AATTTCATATTTTGATAGTTAATACAGTGTCAATATTCATGCTTAAGAGAAATACCTGTGTTCTGAAATAATTAACTTTTTCAAAGCAAATTCCTTATTAAAATATCAGATTTTATCATTAAATATATAATTTATACGAATAAAAGTTGTTATTATTAGAGTGATGTGCCATAAAAACCTTCTTACACATTTTTTTTTCAGGTTGCTATTCTTTAGTTGTCATACATAGCATCATTCTATCCTAAAATTACAAGAATTTATAAGGTTCCTGTTTAATACTTAACTCTAAAGAAATCTTCATTTCAAATAAGCATGCATTTTGATTTGGGACATGGTCAAAAATCTTTAAAGATATATACATAAACTAATTTGTTAATCTCGTGCCACTTTTAGCATTTGTCACACATATAGACCAGGAAATTGGCTCCATCTCATTCTAGCTCTGTGTTGAATTAAAAACCTCTACTGCAAAGAAGAGCATGATGTGGGGAAAGAATAAATTTAGTTCTTTCCTTAGTAATGCACATATATTTCCATACATTTCACATCCTAAGGGAGCCTGTGAACGCATTCAATAAATACAAAACTGTAATTCCAGGAAAAGGAAATTTTTATATTATAAATTTCACATAGTACTTTATTCTTAAAAGATCTGAAATTACAAGTGTCATTAAGTTTTTATTCTTTTACAAAATACAGGATATAAAAAAAAGGAAGACATTGAATCTAGGGTCATCGGTATTTCTGAGGGTATTAGGTGATTTCAAACAAAAAAATATATATTCAACAATGGCACTTGAAAATTAAGAAAATTTAGCCATGTCCAGCCCAACTAATTCTACCTTACTTATGCTAAAATCAGAATCATATATGTAAGCATTTATACCGAACAATTGCCTATCTTCACCTTATATATTAAGGTCAGCGAAAAGAGCAGTTTATGGATAAAGGGCAATAATAAAGAGGTAGCCTTTAAACATGATTAGTTGGTGTCTATTAAAGATGTGTTAAAATGAAATATATACTTCAGGTGAAGGAAATATACTAACTCCTTCTAGGATGATAGACTTGCTATATGTGTATTTCACTATACCTTTAAAATATTTGTGAATTTGACTGCATTCTGAGGAGACAGAGCAACGTGGTAGATTTATGAGTGTCTGACTGAAACAGGGCTAGGAAAGATTATGGCATACTTGTTTAGAAAAACTGAGAACTGAAGGTTCCTGATTTACACTGACATATATCTAGATGAAACTATAGTTTGCAAATTGCCTAGAGGAGCTATCTTTTATTAAGTGTTTGATGGGTACAGAAATGTACATATCTATTCTATAACAGTCTAGGAATACCAAAGCAATATTTGTAAATGCAATTTTAATGTTTTTAGCTTTTCTTAAATATTTTCATTTTTATGGTCACCTTGCCCAACCCTGTGCTGAGTGCCCATGCCTATTGAACAAGCCATATGGTTAGAGAAGTTTTGTTTCATTCTTTTGAATTTTTGGGATACAGGTATGCTGAAATGCTCTCTGCACTGCAGGACTAGAGAGGTCAAACCGCAGCTTAGGCACTTTTTACCTTTTCCAACAGACTACCAGCATATTTGACTCATTCTGCATCTTAAGTTAAAATTACCAACATTCAGAATTAATGCATTTCCAAAGGCTTTCAACTTTCTTACTACATTGTGATGCCATTACATATGTTTAGTTTGAAATTAGACAAGGAGTAACAGATAAACATGAAGTTTTACCAAGCACAGTAATATTTCCTGCAAAGAAAGCCTGAAAGACTGGTAAGTTTTCTACTCAGGTCAACTTTCCCTGTTTTATTCCAACTGATACAAGGTAGATGGTTTGTCTAGGAGGAGGGGGCAGGGGGCAGGCTGGCTTTGCATTATTATTTTTGGTACACTAATTTCCTCTTTCTTTAGGAGCTGTTACTTTTTAATCTTATTTTAAATCGTTATTATGATAGTGAAAATCTGTATTAGTCACTACAATTCTACTTTCATAATTCATATTTTATTAATGCAATTAAAATTGGTATTTACTGATGTTTCAGGAACAAAATTATGAATTTAATATCAATTTAACAATGGATCACGTTATGCATTCTAGTTCTGTCAGCATATTTTCAAGCCAGGTGAATGCATTATACAAATATTAGGCAATATTTTACATAATAATCTACCTATTAGGTGGGAAGTTTTGTCAGGCTTGGACGTACAGTTGGTCACGAATTATATATAAAATTTCTTTTGTCCACAGTAGATGTGGAAACAGGACTAAAATATCAGCCCTTTTAAATATTCCACTGGCTTCTAATAAGACATAATAAGCACTATCTGTTAGTGTAAGCTTTTGGTCAGCAACAGAGAAAACAAAATTTATGATCAGACAACTATTTACACTTTCATTATGAGTATATGTTCAGTGCATTGATAACTTGAACAAAAGCTTTCTGTGTTATAGCATTATATGAAGAGTTGTACATCTGTGATAAGCAACATGCACTGACCCATTTTCATCAGTAACTTGCATAGTTTTCTTAAATCATTAACTTATCAGATCTGGGCAGGGATGCCTGGATTTTTCTGGATGTTTGGATAGCACCTAGCATAATATAATGTGTACTAGAATATAAGGAAATAATTGGCACTTGTTAGTTATAAGCAGCACTTGTTAGCATAGCCTTTCTAGCATGCCAACAAGCAATTAACCTCAGCATCAGTCAATCACCTTTTCCTAGTTAACTCGCATTACACTTTGAGGGCAGCTGCCATCTTCTTGTGGAAAAATACATGTAACTATGCCCCTGACTGTCACGCGAGTTTTAGACCAGTATAAGTTTATTCTGTCCAAAAGAGTTAGAGCTTTCTACACAGTACGGTAATCAAGAAAATTATTTTTCTTCCATGACTGTAAATTAGGAGTAAGTGCACCTAATTCATTGGAATTACATCTGTTTAAAACAGTGGCACTGAAATTGGAATCAATCTTTTCTTTATGTATCTGAGAGGTGAAAGTGTAGTACTGTACATAAGTCAATCAAAGTAATGATGTTGCTTAGCAATGTAAATGCAAAAGAGTAGATTGCTGATGCCAAGAAATTTGCACCCACATATTGCACCTGTCAGTGAAAGGGAGGTTGCATTGCAACTGCAGTGCAGTGTGGAATTAATGCCCTAATTAGAGACTTCTTTATCTCCATTAGATATGCCTGACAAGACAATATGGTGAAGTTATTTATCAGCTCATCATTGCTATGGGTGGCAGGAGTAGCTGTTTTTGTTCTTTTTTGCTCTTTTTCTTTGTTTGGTTGGGGTTTTTTTAAGACACTATAGATATTTTCAGCCCATTTTTGATAGGAAGAGATGACCAGAGGAGAGTTTATGTGTGTTATTTGTGTAGAATAAATGGGTTGATGGTGGGTTAATAAAACTGGGTTTTTCCCATTTCCCTACATGTATGAGTGATTTTCATAGAAGAAAGGTATGGAAGAACTGAACTGTGATTTAAAGCACATCATTTTATTTCAATAGCAGGAAGCAACTTCCATAAATGACAACTTTTTTTCTTTTGATAACTCCAATGAAATACAGAGATGACACCTGTATGAAGCATTATTTTTAGAAAGAGGGACTGGGACACTTCTCCCCTGACTATTGAAATGACATATAAATATCATTTCTTTTACTTTTTCTGTGAGTTTTGTGACTTGTGCCTTGGTGTGTGACTGCGATGTGCATTTTTTGTTGACAGATGTGAATAAGGTACAGAGAGTACTAAATAAAAGTATGCCAGGTCCGGATAGATAGCAATATGCAGGATAACTCCAAGGAAAGCAAAGAACCCCAAACAAACAAACGAACAAACAAAGTAAAAAAAAAAAAAATGGATTCACTGTAAACTTATTTTTTCCTGCTCGGTCCATTAGGGAATAAACAGACCAACATGGAATATTATTCCAGTGAGTGATAAAAACAAAAGAAGGAGAACGTTAGGCCTGTAAGGTATTTTAATACTGCTCTTAAGAGTTTCACATATTCAATTTTGAAAAAATAAACCTTTCAATTATGAGTTGAAGTCTATCCAGCTCAGGTAGAGAAAACCATAGAATAGGAGTTTCTTTCATGTTTTGCTGACAGAAATTCTTTGGGGAATGTTTAAAGAATGGACTTTTTAGTGAATTTCTTTGGGTTATTCTTTTCAAATAGTCATTGTTGAAATCATCCTGAGGCATATTCAGATCTTAAGTCACTTATAGACTGTGTTAAGTCTCCCTGTAAAGTTCTTACTACTAGTTGGGGATTACCTTAGTGACGTTAGTCACTTTGCAAAATAAAATCATCGATTGGTGAAACAGTCCTATGAAAGCAAAATATAACTAAGTTTAATTCGAGTCTTGATAGTATGTTTTCTTCTAACTGTATCTGTGGTAGTTATGACTACAATTTTCATTTTGCCCTAAGCTTATGACCACTTTTCTTGGTACCAGACTTCACATTCCCAGAAGAACCCCTGGTCCCTTTGCCGAGTTACTATTTAAATTAGTCGGGTACAGCCTGATCAAGTTGAGTTAGAAAGTGGCTTCATGAGCAGCTTCACTGGCAGCTCTGGAGAAGCAGTAACCTCCACCTGGCGTGTGACATTTAGCTAGAACAGACTGAAACTGCTTCCTTTGGTAGCTAGCACAGAAAGTATAGTCAAGCTATTCTTATATGAAATAATGCCTCATGCCAGTGCAAAAATACAAGAAAATACAGTACTTACTGCAGAATCATGATAAAAATTTTTAGTTTTAGATGTTATGTAAACTTCATGGTGCAACTGTATTAGAACAGGAAGCTATATGAAGCTCATTTTTGGGTGTAGCTATTACATGCCTGAGGAGAGCAAAATGTTTTGGGCTATATTTCTACTTAAACAATTAAACAAACTAATGGAAAAGGTCTTGAAAGGAAACTGGATTATTTGTATTAAAATATTTTTCAGTAGTCTGATAATTATGTAAGAACATGACGAAACTCGAGAGGAAGTAGAACCATGTGAAGCAGAAGGAAGTGTCCTCACTGGTAAAGATGAGGTGAGAAAATGTTACATTTTGGTATAAAACATGCTTTCTGGTAGTATTTCTTCTGAAATCAACATTATGAAGCAGACCTATGTTAGTTATGTTAGTTTACATTAGATATGTAAACTCAAAATGCAAAATTTTACTGTGTTAAGAGCTTGGTGAATTTGTTAACTTTGTTATTTTTTAGACTAACTGGTACTTTTACTGATATTTAAAATGATAGATACAGAGAGAGCAGGATAGTTCTTTCTTTGTTTTGCCTATATAACCATCATATTGCCTTTTTGCCCAGGGAGTTTAAGAATGGTCTTGGCCATTTAACTTGTATCTTCAGCATGTCCATGTAGTACAACACATTTTTGCCTTTTGATTATTAAGACCTCCCATATAAATCCATTTTAAATGGTGACTTAAGAAATGCATCCTTGCAAATAAACATTAATTTGCAGCTTCAGTCATTACTGATGATTAAAATACATGGTTGCATAACATAAAATGGTACTAATTATTCAGTCTAAGTGTTGTATTCTGATTTTTTTTTTTTTTTGTACTTAAACACGTTTTCTTTTCCTAGGTATCTTTTTAATGCTGAAATGGACACAGTAATTGTGAACCGTGTGGTAAGGAGCTCTTTCTAAAATATGCAGTAACGTATTCACTGGAATTTAACAGCCTGTGTACTTCAAAGCTTCTCTTGCCTGTAATCACGTGAACAAACCTTCCAAGTCGCTTTGCCAGCTCGAGATTTGTCAGAGCACTAACACAGCGTTGAAGCAGCCCCTGCCACCAGGCAAGGTACAGAAGGGAGATGGTGACCTGCAACAGGATGAGAGACCTCACTTACCAGGATTGGCTCACAGTTATGCTTCTGGCAACTGACATTTCCATTTTGCTCAAAGCTTCAACATCGTGTCATCAGACAAAGCCCCGTGAGTGGTGGCAGAGCAAACTCTAGCCTTCATTTTCAAGTTTGAAGAGAAAAAATTATTTACATGTCTAAATCCCAGAACCCGCTGTTCACAAGTCACTTTTTGTTGCCCGCTGCTATAAGCCATTAAGGCTTCCAAAAGCTCTAAAAGAAATGGGACATGGTTTGGGGCAGAAAAATCTAACTGTTTTAAATTTGTTTAAATTCTATTTCATTGTGTTATGTGAATTTGTCCTACCAGAGAAACCTGGAAGATGGAATGTTTCTGTCATTCCTTACAATGAATGATAGCTTAAAGGGACGGTCAGAGCTTGCAAGACAAATCTTTGATCCTCCTTAAGATTGTTATAAACTGAAAGAGAATATCTTTTAATTCTTTAGGACTTCAGACTAATTTTTAAGGAAAATTATTGATTCATGCAATGAATTTTACTGTTTTATCACACTTCCAAGTCAGTATTTATATATCTTTTTGGTTATGAAAATAGGCAGATGTTTAACTATGTGTTCTAATATTGCACTGGGCTTTGGTTTTTTTTTTTCTTTCCTGTTTTAGACATGTTTTCCTGAATCAGACCCTTGAATTTAATGACAATTAGTACAGTTTCCAGAAATTTATTTTCATCTTAAAGAATCTATGTACCAAGTGTGGAAATGTAGATGTTAAGGGGGAGCACAAGTAACGACTTTTTTTTTCCATTCACAGAGGAAACACTAAGACATCAAGGTTATTCAAGTAGCCTGGAAAGTTACTATTTTTCCAAACTGCAAGAAGATCTCAGAAATAATAAGGATAACATTAAAACAAAAATCTAGAGAAATTGTTTAATTTTCTTAAAAAAAATATTGGAACTTGGAAAAAAAAAAGGCATTTCACAGTGAAGAAAATCTTCAGGCAGAGTTCAGGCAGAGTTATTAGACACAGTGTTTAGGGTTGCTTGAAAGAATCATTCCAGGTACTGTTCTTTGCTGCTACTGCAGAAGTGTGTTGGGCATTTAATCTGTCTTAATTGCCATATCTGCAAATAGAAGATAATAATGCCCACTTCTGTCTAGTGTTGTGCAGTCTCTAGAAGTTTCACAGCAAGAGAAAAGTGTTTCATAGTGTAGGTAAAATTGCCTGTTGGACCTTTTATTTTAAAATAAAAGTTTCAGCTACAGATCCTGAAAGAATGGATTCCCTAAGGGATTGTAGCCAAAGTTTAGGTGGGGTGTTTTTTTGTTTTGCATTTTTTTTATTTAAGCTGTTTAATTGACTGATTTTTGGCATCATCTCTGCAGCATGCAGGTCTCTGGAGACTGATAGAAATTAGGGTTGCTGTGAATAAAAAAACCTTCTTTCGAAGATCCCATTATCATCAGAATTCTGTTATCACAAAAGTGTACTTGGCATTAGCATGGCCCATGTTTTGTATTTCGACTACTAAACTTTCAGGGACATCATTGTCTAGCTAACATCTTAAATGCTATAGCTTTCCCATTAGATAAGCAGGCTGATTTCATTAGTATTTCTTGAAAGAACAAGGCAGGAAAAAAAAAAGACTTGGGTGGTTGTGAATGTCTTGTAGAGAATTTTGGTGGCATATGGCCGTACATATTTTATGCTACAGGAAGGAAATTAGTGGAATTTGTAGAAAACCTATATAAATGTAAAATGCAACAAGCAAACAGTCTTTCCACAGATTATACTGGCAGTACTGATCATGTCTACTTTGACAAGAGGCAAGGAGTATGCTCAGGATGGTGTGTCTCCTGGCTCCTGCTCCATGTTGCCAGCCTTTAGCCCTGCTTGAGACTGTGCTGTTGGGTCTGCCAACAGCCTGGATTGCTTACCCTGTGTGTTTTAGAAACAGGAAATCTAAGGGCTGTCCTAGGACGTGTGACATCGCCAGATCTAAGGGCTGTCCTAGGATGTGTGAAAGGATGTGCCAGCAAGGTGAGTGGCTGGTTGTCACCACAAACCTATGCAAGGGGACTGTGGAGAAGATTTCTCTTCTCACATATCCTAAGCTACATCCTAGGCTTGACGCAGAGTGTAGCTTTGTGCTCCTGCAACCAGTCTTGAAATATGTTCTGGCCTGTAACAAGGGTCCCAGTTTATAAGACTGGAGACATAAAACCCAATAATTTGATTCCTGTTTAAAACTTTCAGCATTTAGGGTAGAACAGACAATTAACCAGTCAAATCCAGAACTAAAATGTTTTATCAGAATATCAAAATTAGGAATGCAAATTAGAAATTTTTCTTTTTAGATTATCAGTGAAGTGACAATAGTGTCTGTTACCTGCAGTTTTGCCAGTGGTAGGTGCCAGCTCACAGGCTGAAGAGCGTATGTATGAAATGCTTGTCATATCACTGACACACTCTCACAAGATGCCACCAAAGGGATTTTGCTGTACTGCAAAATAAGAAACCTTAATTACTATATGATAAAAACAGATGTGTTATACTTGTTGGTAAATTAAAGATTAAAATAGAGATTAACGTTTGATAATAATCTTTCATTTTTTATCTGTCTTTAATTAAACTCAGAGTGGTTTAAATATATAGGGGCATCTCTTGGGTTTATGTTTTAGTTGTGAAAATGACTAATTTGTGTATGTTGTTATTTAAAGTTACTTTAATTGCAGTACTTGCATAAGTTCAAGAAGCAGAATTTCATTCCATCTGGTGATTACTTATTTATTTTCACTAATCATACAGCCAAAAATCAACAAATTAAAAAAATAATTACTGAAAACTTGATTGAACATAATAGAAAATATGTAGAAAATACAAGTAATATGTGACTAAATGTGTCCATATGGAGCCTGAATATTTCAACACACTTCAAAAAATTAATGAAGAAAACAGATAGGGAGCTACAAATGCAGTGATTTCCCCAAGAAGCCTATATTTCCTACTATTTCAACTGGTTTATATATCAAGAGTAGACATATATAAACTGCTTTTGAAGCTATTTACTTTTATTTTTTTAAATTCGTGTATTATGTGTACTTACTGAGATTGAAGCTGTTTAATTTCACTCCACTGTGAATCTGTAGCCCAAGTTAAATACTCAGGAGACCTAGTATGTATGTTAATTTAGTGATCAAAAAATGTTTCCAGTTGGTCATATTATGTCCAGCAGTAAAACATTTTCAGACTTAAGGAGATACATGACTCACCTAAGGAAGAGGTATGTTAAACCATTTACAGGCTGGTCACTTTCCAAATCATGAGTCCTATCATTCTGATACCTTTAAAATCCACTAAGGTGACTAGCAGAGAATTACTCAGGAGCCTCTCTAAATCAACAGCAAGCCTACAAATGTACCCCTCTGTAGTGTGAAATGACCACTTTGTCTCCTGTCCTAGACATGGAAGCCATTTTGAAGTCTTAATAATTTGGTTTACCTCCAATACACTAAAATTCAGAGGGATTTATACTGGTACAATATATGAGATTACATCAGAAAAAAGTGGCTTTGCTGCATCGTTACGGACACTAAGACTACGTAAACAACAGGTTGCAAAACTATTCTTTTAAAACTTCAGTGGTATGCGAATGTGCACATGTGCACAGCAGATCACGAGTTATTGCAGTAGAGGCAGCCTCTGCTTCTGCTATATATTTTCCCAACTGATATGCTCTTTTTATTTTTTTTTTTTGAAGTTGTCATATGGTATAACACTTTTACTAGTTGACTCCTCCCACTTTTCTTCAAACCACATCCTGATTTTTGGCCTCAGAAACCAAACATATGCACAACTTGCAGAACAACACATGATATTGTTTCTGTATAACATCATACCAGCTGGGATATAAATTCTTACAGACAATTTTATGTGAATGAAAAATACCTACATAAAGACATTTTCCATAGTTATGCAATACATATCACAGTAGAGCATATGGTCTTGAGCCAGAGATCTTCACATAGAATTATAACAAAAGCCCCAAATCAGGCCACAGATCTTCAGAAAATGTAATTTTGAAGAGATCATTCTAATTTCTCACTATTTTATTTCTTCCTTTTTCTATTCTCTTTTGGATTTCTGAAATCCAACCTCAGCTAGTTTGTGGGCATGTTGAAGACCCTTAAATTTTATCAATTTCATTTATTTGGTGTCAAGTCCAATAAAATTGTTATTTAACTAAGGAAAAGATAATTTATGGTGAAATTTTAACTGGTACCATGATTTGAAAATATGCCAATAGGCAGAATTCATTGTTTTTGGGGAATTTATTTCAACATTCATTTTCATTAGTAGAAAAATGTTTTATTCTTGATTTTTCAGTGTTCAACTTCCAGAATGTTGTTTTTTTTTAATTTTGGGGGATGGTTGTTACATTATTCTCCCTTCAGAATAAACAGTCTGCATATGAGAGTTTTCTCCCATGATCTATAAACTTTAATCAAGTCATTCTCAGCCCTCCTTTTTGATAATCAAAGAGATCGAGTTTATCTTTTCACAGCAAATAATTTTCTTCTGCTCTCAAATTAATTTTAAATGCAATTTTGTGAACTCTCCATTTTTTTCCCACCATTCTCATTAAAATATGGACAGCAGATCTGTGGGAATTATTCCAACCGTTGCATCAGGATTCAAGGATTACGTTAGCTCTGTTCATGCAACTTCACAGTGGGAGCTCATGTTGGTCCACTATGGCCCATAAATCCCTGCAGAGTCAAGGCATTCCAAATCACTGTACCCCCTTTTTTGGGGGGTGAATTCCATTTGTATTATGTTTAACTGTGCATTCATCTCTTCTAAAATGCTCATTTTTGCATTGGGTCTAGCTTGTAAAGAGATCTCCTCTTCCTTGGTCTCATAATTATGTACTAGCCGAGTAATCTTTCTGTCATCTTCAGATCCTTAGCATGGCAATTTGCATTTGCACCTCTGGATCACTGCTGGGAATACTGACTACCATTGGGCCCAGTACTGATGCCTGCTAGATACCATTAGAAATAATTCAATATTAAATTTCTTTTTAATGTATCTTTTGGTGATCTGCTGGCCAGCTCTTAATTGAAATTGTGTACATTGATGCTATGTAGCAGATCTTTTATTTTCTTAATAAAGTTATCATGCAGTAATTACAAACTTTCATTATATATTTATTGATTAAACAAAGAGAAGATAAACATCCCATGGACAGGTGAAAAAAATCTGTAGACCACGAAGCAGACAAAACACTCGGGATTAATATTCTTCAATTTTCTTGCACATGTAACTTTATTTCACCACTTCAAAATATTTCATATATAGATAATACTGTTTATGTTTCAGAATCGGAGGGATTCTGATTTGCCTGACATGTCTATCTTAGAATGTGTAAGGGCTTTCTGAATTTGTTGAAACCGCCTCTGGGAAGTTTACAGAACTAATGGCAGACACTGATGTATGCACTTTCTTCAGTTGTTTTTAAGATGTTTTGCTAATAGTTTAGCTCTCAGATTGGGTAATGTATTTTCTGTAATTTGCCACAAAACCAAAATTCATAAAATTAAATTCTAATTCTTAATCCACGCTTTGGCATGGAAAACCTTGTATTCATTTCTGTCTGTAAAAGTGACAGCACTGCGTCTGATATGTTCACAGATAGAGGTACATCCACAATCCTCCCAAAACTCTACTGGTGTCATAGCTTCCCTCCTTCCCACTCCCCAGTATTTAATGAATTTGGTTAATGTGCCAGAAAGGTGTTTGCATTTTTCCAAGTAAAGAAAAAGAAAGGGGTGAACTTTAAAAGGAGGAAACTAATTTAAAATTTCTCCCTTTCTTTCTTTGGACCCTTTTCCCTTCCAGAAGAAGGTTCTGGTGAAATTTGTCAGAACAAAGTTTCCAAGCAGTTTATTTCTTTTTAAGTAAATCTAAGGCTTTTGTATTTATTGGACTTTTCTGTCTTTTTGTAAGTTGAATATCATAGCTAATAGCACAGCAATAATTACATGTCATTCTCTTTATCCTCTTTGTGCACTGCCAATCTGCAAAGGTGTCTCATTTCACACATCATTTGTGATGTCCTCTGGTAACCACATATTTTGGGGAATAGCTGGTGAATGTAGTCATTAATCTCCATTTTAAGATGTGTAGTTCCAGATTCCCATTCTGTAATTGTTCTAAGCAGACTTCTTGGTGTAGTAAATGGGTCAGCAAGACTATGCTCAGATCCCAGGAGACAGACTACAGGTAACTAAACTAAACTGCAGGACTGTAGGATTTCCCAGTCCCTCAGCTGGGCTACACCGGCTGTGGCCCAGGGTAAGAAAGTGAGTTCCTCTATTTGTCTGCAATTAGTGGGAGTTGGGGTTCATGGGATACTCCAGACAGTCTTCCCTGGAGAGAAAGAAAGTTATTCTGATGGTCCTATTCCATTCAAGACAGCCAGCACAAAGGAACACTGTTAATTCCTACTGAGGCAAAGCAGCCTCAAGTCAACAGTGATCCAGACCCCACTTCAACACAGAGACAGCTTGTGAAATTGAAAAACAGGAACAAAACAAAAAGTACTATACGTGTCTGAGAAATCTTATCAACCCTGGCAGATATATTTATTGCTCACTGATGACTGAGAATCTCATCTTGCCCAGGGATTAGTTGTGAGTTACTAATGGAGTAAAAATGTGGGGTGAGCAGAGAATGACAGTCTATGGCTGATTACTCTGATGTCATGCTTTGGGAACGGCAGCCAGAAATGTGCAACTCATTCTGTCTTTAGAATCAAAGGCACCTAATTACAATCTCATTTTGTTAAAACAGAGTGCTAATGACTTGCTTGTGCAGTAGCTGGATACCATATCAACTGCCACATAAGCTCAGTTTTTCCATTTTAACAATCCCAGTTACAGTATCCGACTGCCTGTGCATAAACATTTGCAAGTTGTTGCTGTAGGTCTGGAGAGGAGGCATGCAGCAGTTTCCACTAGGCAGGGAAAGCGAAAGGAGGAACTGGTAGACAGACTTTGTGCTAAAATGTTCTCACTTTAGAAGAGCTGTTTTGACTAATTTATAAAAATTGTTAAAAATCCAACCACGATTGATCAGGTCAGAGTATTCTGTGGTACAACAACACAGATTAAATCACGTTCTTTCTTGTAATCTCCTCTTCCCAGTTCTTTTTAATCTTTGTAATCTGTATTTTTTTACTGGTACTCAACTGTTTGTACCTTTGAACTCTTTTTATACTCAGGTTGCTTCTGCATGTTTGCTACAAGTTATGTACCATCTTCCTAAACTTTATTACAAAATGTGTATATACACATTTTCAGAGCTCCCACTACTTGCAAAATCTTATTTTGTGTTAAGGGTTACTTCTAATATCTTCAAAGCACCCTTTTGAGAGCAAATGTATTGTTAAATATCAAGGGTACCTTGTTTTGTTCCCTACGTATCCCTTTCCTTCAACAGGTCCTGAATTAAACACATGTATGCATGACGTGCATTGATATTTTCAATTATTTGATCTTATTCTATGAAATCTCTCTCAGCAAGTTCTGCACATTTTAATCTGTTAATTATAGCAAAGTCTGTACTATTAAATATTTATCTGAAAGGAATTCTCTGAAAATGCAGAAATGAAGATAGCTTTCTAAGGAACTGTGGGTTTTTGGCACACAATGAGGACGAACTTTATACCAAGCCACATTTTTCACATGACATTAAAGGGCTCTAGAGTTTGATAAGTTTGGTTTTCTCCTACATGTCTGATGCAATCTACTGTATGTATATATATGTATATATGTGTATTTGTCAGTATGCTCTTTCTTTGAATGTGAATTGCAATAATTCTTTCACTGTGGTTGGTACTGTGATGGTGCCCATGCCTCTAAATCTATGTAACTGGTATTTTTTCGAAGTTCATAGCACTTGTGTCCTCAGGTCTCTGCCACTTGTTTTCAATAACCTTTCATGTGAAGTAATGATGCTCTAAGCTATTGTGTCAAATATCAGATGGGATCTCAAGAAAACAATGTGTGTTTCAAACTATTTACACTCAGGTGGTATTCAGAGGAGAACTAGATCTGTAATTATTACTTTTAAGAAGCATGGAAGACAGCCAGAAGAGTTGAAATGGGAGCCCTTCCAAGTATGTATCCTGAAGAAGCAAAAGGGGCAATAATAAAACTAAATTTCCCCCTGTAAAGAGAAAGGTTTTTGGAAGGATGAACTCATTAGCTAGGTGCTGGGGGCCAAGTAATTCTCTACTTCCTTCTCATTACTTCCAGGCCATGACCATGTTCTAACTATATTCCAGATCAGAACACTACCTGGGAATATTAGTGAGCTGGAAAAGAAACCAGTAAAACAGTTATGGTCCCAATGTTAGTATGAAAATCAGGACCATGATCTTTTAACTGCTCCAGTAAAAAGTTATGTCACTTGTAATTTCGACTTCTTGGAGATGCCCAGCAGTCAGAGTTTTCCACAAGTTCACATTCAGTTCTACTGGATTAAAAAATCAGGAAAAAGCTCTGATGAGCTCCATTTCTATACCTTGCTTGGGAAGAGATATTTAAAAAGCCAGCCCATTCCTCAGTCTCTGCTAAGTTCTGATCTAGGTTGAGGTTTACTGACATGACTTGGCACTAGTTCTTAAGCTGTTTGCCAGCTGTTTGTATTCAGTGTATTGGGTATCACTGCTGTCTCCTCCTTTCCTAACTCTCCAAGAGAGTCTTCTGGTGACTAAATCCTAGAGGGATTCTCTACCCTCTGTCCTTGGGAGCAGGGCAACAGAGCAAGGGCAAGCTGTAGCAGATTGTTGCTCTTACTCCTCCCAATGTTGTAAGTTAAAACAAGAATATGAACCACTGATATGACTTCATCCATCAGACCACAAGCGAAGCTGAGTCAGCAAGTGGTGAAGAAAACTACATGTATTCATAGTGAATGAGCAACTATTTCTTTTTCATGAAATGTTTGTAGCTAATCAGCTCAAATAGCTACGTATCCAATAAATACAAGCTGCCAAAAAAGCGCACTTGGATGGTACATTTGGCAGTGCTGAACAACTCTCAAAGCGTATTAGATGTTCACTGTTTAAGTCAATAGGCTAAGATGTAAAATTAAAAAAAATATTTTGATTTTTTTTCATACTAAGCCTGCTTTTATTCATAACCAAATTTAGTTCCACTGATTTCTATAGAGGTGAGGGTGGCAGGAACTGAATCCAAAGTTAAGCATTTAACTAATTCTTTTCATATATCTTAATTTTTTCATATGTTCTAATTATGTCCCTAAGCATTTCTTTGTTGTTTTTTTTTCCTTCCCTCACACTATTTAGGCATACCAAATGGGTTCATCTTGAATTAATTTCAGTTTGAAATTCTCAGAAATCCAGAACGTATTTGTATAAACTTAAATTAAACTCTAAGTACAACCTCTATTTTTTTTTTATTGTAACAATGAGAGTCCATTTGATATACTTCACTGCAGTGTCAAACTTCAATAAGAATATATATTTTTTACACAATTAAAAAATAAGTTATGTATCATTTGCAGAACACTATGATTAAGGAGATTATGCTTTCAAAGGAGGTTTTAGGGAGACTATAATTTCAAAATTACATTTGCTCCTATTTGATATTGATTACTTGTTTCCTACTTTGAACACATACCATAGACCTCTTAAAATCTGAATGCCTTTGGTTTAATCACTTCATACTGCTCCATTCTCTTCTTCCTGCCAGGTTCTTTGGAGAGGTGCAGGTAGCCAGGCATAAAGGTTCAGAGAGCAAAGTTGGGAACAGTAAATTCTGTTGACTTAACTTCTCTTGACTTTCAGCACACAGATTTATCCATGTAACTCCCATTAAAATTAATGGGAATCATGTGACTCAAACCTGTGCATACTGAGCAGTTTCCTTGGTGCACTGAAGAGTCTGCATCTAGTCTCTGAGTCCCTAAACAAAATGATGAAGGTGCAGTGACAATATATCACTTAAATATCACATGCATTTACTATACTGTAGAGCTTTGAAGAAACATCTGTTTCAAAAACAGCTTTTGCATCAGAAGTCAAAGGTCCCATGAAGAGATTAATTTATATTTCAAATTTTGGTATGTTTTTCATCATAATGATAAAACAGACTTCTGTATTTGCAATTTACCCTCTAGCTATATAATTTCTGACTTAAATAGCCACAAGGAGTACAATAAATGAAACATTTTTCAAAACAATTGTTTCAGCTTTGTCTTACTTTTTTATCATTTAAACTTATTTTAAATGATAACCTATTACTAGACCATTAATAAAAACATTATTTTAAAATAGATTTCAAGAAAGCTTGATTAAGCTACAGTAAGACTAGGCAGAAGCTGATGGGATGACTTTCAAAGAAATAGTGCTATAAACAATTATTATGATATTATGCCCAAGCAATTTGAAAACAAAGGCTATCATTTACCTTTGAATTATAGAAATATATATATTTCTATGTCAATATTTAGAAGTCCATTGACTTAATAGGAAGCTGTAAAAGCATGAGGACATGCACAGACAATAAAGTGGAATAAAAGGATGTTCTTCTGAGTGTCTAAGTGGCATACAGAAACTCTCAAGATATTCCAAATACTTTCCGAATTTGTAGAACATCCTAATTCCTTCCCTTTTTAATCTGCCTTCTGCTTTCTTCTCCAGCTCATGCCAGGTTGCCTACTTCCTTTACACACCACTCACAGCTAACTCTTGTGAAGTTTTGAATTTCCTTATGTGTCACTGATCTCTAGGAAAGCCCTCCAGTTCAATACTCTTCAGGAAAGCTTTCTTTTTATTAGTCAGAAGAAGTAAGGATTTTATGTTTCTTAAATTCATGCTACAAGATAAGATGAAAAAGTAATAATTTTTTTTCCAGTAAGGAATAAGAGTTGCAGTATTGACATTTGGGAAATTTAAATTTAGTAACTTCATTTTTGCTCATACAACAAGTCACTGAATGTAAAGTAGTTGATAAGGATAAAGGTCCACAAGTGCCAAGCCATGTGCTATCCTTGCCCTCCTTTGGGCACTCTCTAATAGCTTAATCTCTTTCTTATATTGTGGTGCCCCAAACCAACACACAATATTCAAAGCGAGGCCACACCAGTGCAGAGCAGAGCGGGACAATCCCCTCCCTCGACCGGCTGGCGATGCTTTGCCTGATGCTCCCCAGGACACAGTTGGCCCTCCTGGCTGCCAGGGCACTGCTGACTCATATTCAACTTGCCATCGACCAGGACCCCCAGGTCCCTTTCCGTGGCACTGCTTTCAGCATCTCATTCCCCAGTCTGTACAAACATTCAGCATTGCCCCATCTCAGGTACAGAATCCAACACTTTCCCTTGTTAAACTTCCTATGGTTTGTGATTGCCCAGCCCTCTAATTTGTTGAGATCTCTCTGCAGGGCCTCCCTGACTTCGAGGGAGTCAACAGCTCCTCCCCGTTTTGTATCATCTGCAAACTTGCTTCGTGTCCCTTCCAGTCCTGTGTCCAAGTCATTTACGAAGATGTTGAAGAGTCCTGTGGAACTCCACTAATGACAGGTCACTAGTCTGATGTTACTCCATTCACTATTACTCTCTGTGCTCAACCCATGAGCCAATTGCTCACCCACCACATGATGTGTTTATCCAGCTGTGTGCTGGATGGTTTGTCCAGAAGGATCCTGTGAGAGACAGTATCGAAAGCTTTACTGAAATCCAAAAAGATCATATCAACTGACTTCCCTTGATTGTTTAAGTTGGTTACTTTGTTACAGAAGAAAATCAGGTTTGATAAGCAGGACTTTCCTCTCATGAACCCATGCTGGCTGTGACCAGTGACAGCGTTGTCTTTCAGGTGTTTTTCAATACATCACAGAATAATGTTCTCCATAACTTTACCAGGCATTTAAGTGAGACTGACAGGCCTGTAGTTTCCAAGGTCCCCTTCTTGCCCTTCTTTAAAATTGGGACAGCATTTGCCAGCTTCTGGAGAGTCAGCTGAGACCTCTCCAGATTCCCAAGACCGCCCAAAAATCACTGAGAAAGGTTTTGTAATGGCATCTACAAACTCCTTGTCAGGGGAAGAGAAGGGGTAAGCACTGACCTCTTCTCTGTGGTGACCAGTGACAGGACCCAAAGGAATTGCCTAAAGTTGTGTTAGGGGAGGTTTAGGTAGGATATTAGAAAAAGGTTCTTTACCCAGAGTGTGGCTGGGCACTGGAACAGGCTCCCCAGGGAAGTGGTCACAGCACCAAGCCTGAGAGAGTTCTAGAAGTGTTTGGACAATATGCTCAAACACATGATGTGACTCTTGGGGATGGTTTTGGGCAGGGCTAAGAGTTGGACTTGATGGCCCTCGTGGGTCTCTTCCAACTGTCCCTTCATATTCTGTGATTCTGTGAAATGGTGCATATAGGCTATAATGGCCTGACAAAAATAAGAATTTTTACTCACAGATTGTTATTCAAGTATTTAAAAGATAGTATATACTTAGAAGTATTAACCATGCAATTTTAGTCCTCCTGCATGGCAAAATTAGATAAGTAAGTAGATAAAGAGGAACCAGTTGACTTCCATTGTAACAATTTTTTCTGGATTTGATGCAAGTGGAATAGCAGAAAGAACAGCAGTGTCACATCTCTCTTAGTAGTGCATAAGAACAATACTCTGTGTTTTATTGCAGGAAGTGAAAGCTAGGTATTCAACAGAATCTTCAGAGGAAGCTTCTGCACAATTAAATTCTATTTAATCAGAGTTTATTTAAATCAGAGTTGAGATGTGTCCCAGCCATAATGCCTCTTTCAAAAAAGACTAGCTCTTTCTTAGCAGTCCATTTCTGGGCTCTTTCATAGTTTAATGGGCTGAATATTGGATCAACTGCTGTGAACATGCACTATCTCTGTCATACCCATGAAATATAACCTTGGCTATTTCAACTTCACCTCTGTTTCATCGTTGCCATAAACAGCATGCACATGTTGGATTATTGGTGGTGCTGAGAATACATTTTTGTAGTACCTTGACTATGAAGCATAACAGAAATATTTTCTTTTACTGCTATTATTAATTTCAATTATATCTTTATTTCATGGGTTCCCCGCTTTAAGATGCAAATACGTAGATGAATGGACTTGGTTCTACTATTCTTGAAATTATCTGGAAATATGAGAGATCATTTGGATGGTTGATATGTTAGATATCATTTCTCCTGATATGTTGTTCCTCCTACTAATTCCCAGATACTGTGCTATAGACTGGAGTTTGCAATGATAGAAAGGACGCTGACATAAGGTATTATTGTTGTGAGTAGAAATAGAGAAATTTACTCACCAGCTCGAGATGCTCTACAACGAAATTCACTACTGACATAACAACAAAGTCAAACACAATCTTATTTGTGTGCCGTAGAGAAGAGATTTGAGTTTTGTACTAGTGTGTCTTAAATTTTTATTGCTAAAATATATGATTTTTTAAAAATCATCATATATCTGAAAAAGTCAAGATTTAAATGTCTCTTACAGTCTTCATGATCATGAAAGCAAAATTAAAGCTTAGATAAAAAGAAAGATATAATCATGGCTTTGAATCTCTAATACTTGGGCATTAGCCCCAAATGTTTACTAATTATGCCCTTAAGTAACACCTCAGGATCAGAGAAGCTAAATGGGGTAAAGAACATGAAGAAAAACAACTGTTCTTCTTTAAAAAATTAAAATTGTTCATTCAATTAAAAAACCCTTAATAAAAATCTGTACTTGAGTTCAAGTTGCCCACGGGAAGGTCTAATTCATGCTGTCCAATAATGAAAGCTTTATATGACCATTAAGGAAAAACTGACAAGTTATCACAGCAACCTTAGTAATGCCTGTTAACATATATAAGAAATAAAAGCTGGATACTTAAAATGCACCCTAAATTCTCCTTTTATAAGGTCAAGCTTAGTAAAATGTTAATAGGTTTAAAAGATCTGTAATTTCAACTACTGATACATGTTTTCAAATGTGCTACTGAAATTTCTTCTTTTGCGGATGACAAGTCTACTGTTTGATTAAATGTGAACCAATGTCTGGCAGTAAGTTAGTCATTTTAATACTTTATTGAATTCTCTTAGTATAGAGACAATATTTTCTAAACTGGAACTTATAACAAGCATTTGTACAATATAAATCAAATTACTGTCTAGAACTGGCTCTTGAAGAAGTGAAAAGAAGTAAGCATTTTTTTTAAAAAAAAGAGTTTGGTGAAAATAATACTTTTGAGTAGTTACATATTGCTTTCTGCATTTGTAACATTCCAGAGCTACAGTTATAAAGACAAAGTAAACATAATAATTCCTATTTGGGAATGAAAACAATTCTGAGACACTAATTTTTTTTTTTTAAGGTACATTCATTTTGAATGCCTCTTTTTTTATTTCTTGCTGAAAATTAGCCAGTGGACATTCTGAGTTGTATTCCACATCAATTAAAAAAGCAGATTTATGTGTCTTCATCAAATTCATATAACAGAATAGTACCAGAATGAGGGGAAAAAAATCTTTTTTAAATTTAGAACTCTATTCTAACCAGTGGATCACAACCATCTTCATATAAACCAAATCCAATGGTTTCATATAAAAACATTTTTACTTTTGCTAGAAGACGTTTGTAAAGGTTATGTAGGATGAACTGATCTTCAGTGTTGCATGCATGTTTTCTTAGACTATCATATAAAACTGTAGAACAGAGTTTATTATGCAATACAGGCAAATTAATGTAGTAGTTCAGAGCAATCACTGTAAACCATTGAAAAGTAACACACACTTTTTTTTTCTGTTGGTTACTTAAGTTCAGCAACACAGCTTCTGAAAGATTTATTAATTTTGGCTTTTTTATAAAATTGGTAACATGTCCATTGATCTCACACATAGATGTCAAATCTCAACAAATATTACAAACTTCTCATAGTAATTGCTAAAAAAAAAAATAAAATTTTAAACTGCATCACTATCATCTTTAACTTATATCTTGGAAAACTGAAGTCAGAGCTTCTGATCACTGTCAAATGTTATCATGGCTGTTAACACCCAGGATGTGAACATACTGAATATCTGTCAACTTAGAACACAAACAACTCTGTCTGTAGAATTAGGTGGTACTGAGATATATATAAGTATATGTATGTGTGTATATATATATTTTCA